AGCGCTGAGGGAGCGGGCACTGTCGGAGGGTCAGCGCTGAGGGAGCGGGCACTGTCGGAGGGTCAGTGCTGAGGGACCGGGCACTGTCGGAGGGTCAGCGCTGAGGGGAGCGCCGCACTGTCGGAGGGTCAGCGCTGAGGGAGCGGGCACTGTCGGAGGGTCAGCGCTGAGGGAACGGGGCACTGTCAGAGGGTCAGCGCTGAGGGAGCGGGCACTGTCAGAGGGTCAGCACTGAGGGAGCAGGCACTGTCGGATGGTCAGCGCTGAGGGAGCGGGCACTGTCGGAGGGTCAGTGCTGAGGGAGCGGGCACTGTCGGAGGGTCAGTGCTGAGGGACCGGGCACTGTCGGAGGGTCAGCGCTGAGGGGAGCGCCGCACTGTCGGAGGGTCAGCGCTGAGGGAGCGGGCACTGTCGGAGGGTCAGCGCTGAGGGGAGCGCCACACTGTCGGAGGGTCAGTGCTGAGGGGAGCGCCACACTGTCGGAGGGTCAGCGCTGAGGGAGCGGGCACTGTCGGAAGGTCAGTGCTGAGGGAGCGGGCACTGTTGGAGGGTCAGTGCTGAGGGAGCAGGCACTGTCGGAGGCTCAGTGCTGAGGGAGTGGGCACTGTCGGAGGGTCAGTGCTGAGGGGAGCGCTGTACATGTCTGTCTCATGCCTGAGCAGCCCAAACTTTTGCCTTTTCTTTTATTCATTTGCAGGATGTAGGTGTCACTGGCCAGGCCAGTATTTATTGTCCCCAATTAAGAGTCAACCATGTTGCTGTGGGTCTGCAGTCACATGTAGGCCAGACCAAGTAAGGATGGCAGTTTCCTTCTCTGAAGGACATTAATGACCCAGATAAGTTTTTCCGAAAATCAGCAATGGACTTTTAATTCCAGAGTTCTATCGAATTCAATTTCCACCATCTGCCATGGCGGGATTTGAACCTGGGTCCCCAGAACATTACCTGGGTCTCTGGGTTTATAGGCCAGCGAATAACACCACTAGGCCATCACGTCCCTTTAACCTGGGTGGACCTCTCTCTTCCCCCCCTCCACTACTATCGCCCTCCTCCCTTCCCACCCACAGGCTCCCAGTCAGTTCAGACTCTGCAGGAACAGGAGTTTGAGCAGACTTCCAGCCTCACAGACACACCCTGCAGGACTGAGCGACGCCCCCCCCCCCCCCCCCACCCCCCACCCCCCCCCCCCCCTACCCACCCACCCCCACCTCACCCTCAGAACCTCCCATGCCCCGGCCTCAGTACTGTGCCTAACACTGAATATGCCACTTACCTTCTCGCTGCTGTTGCTGAGATACCAGGGCTGGTTGCTGTGGAAATGCCGGGCTTACAACCCCATAAGTGGCTGGGTATGCAGCTGTTTAACAGAGAAGATTGAAGAATAAACAGGGACACACGTTTTGGGTGATATGTTGCTGCCTGTGTGACGTTGTCACTGTCAGCTTCACTCAGCACGTTAGGAATTTAATTATTTTCAACAGCACTCCCAGGGCATGCGGTTAGATAGAGTGTAAAGCTCCCTCTACACCGACCACCCCCATCAAACACTTCCAGGACAGGGACAGCACGGGGTTAGATAGAGTGTAAAACTCCCTCTATGCCGACCACCCCCATCAAACACTCCCAGGACAGGGACAGCACGGGGTTAGATACA